AAATTTGAGCTACTTAACTGAAAATCTTGTCTGAATTGAAAAATAATGAATCCAATAAAACTATGATATTACTTAATTAGAAAAGCTTTTAATTGCTTTTGTAAATAAGTAATATTAAGGACATTATTGTCTGAAGAAATAATTTTTTTCTGATGAATAATTAATTTTTACAAGAATTTTTTCGTTTTTTAAGAAATTTTAATTATAATAATTTTTAATAGTTTAACATCGTGTAAAGCTCTGTATTAGGAGGGCTCCTCAATATTATGTAGTAATTAAGTAGAAAAAAAAATTACGAATCCAAAATTGCTAAGTTTAATAAATTTAGTTGAGCTACTTTTTTAAAAAATAATTTTTATGTTGTATTTTTTTTACTTAATACATTCCTTATTTCCATGTATGATATACAGAAATTGCCATTATTATAACAAGGTCACGTGATCTAAGGGTTTTGTCCTTTACGTGGCCTTTTCAAACATTTCGTTTATTAACAGATTGTATTTTCCGATCAGCTGTAAAAGTGTAAACTTTAAATTTTAAATTATTTTTTTTTTTTCATTTACTATTTCACTAAATAATTTTATTTTTATGTATTGTATTTCCATTAGTGTGTGTCATACTCAAATAGAATAACTTTTTAAAAACTCAGACTTAAAAATTATGTCATTTATGGTCATCAGTAGTAGCTGTCATCGGCTCGTCAATCAACCATTATCAATAAGATCGAACAACTGAACGGGACCGCTCGTTAATAATTGGTTGTATATTATTTTTTATGCTATAAGTAACAAAGCTTTCTTTGAAATCAGATTACTTTAACTTTAAATTTTTAATTTTACTAAAATAACGTGTCAGAATTTTTTTAAATATTTTAAAATCGATAAATTTGTGTTTGTTTACAAATTTCTTAAAATTAAGAAAATGGCCGTTTTAAGAAAATTTAAAATTAAATTTGACAATCAAATGTATATAGTTTCTATCTGAAATACACCAGAATTGTTTAATTAATAGAAATCGTAAATTTAGTTATTAAACTTTCAATTAAAGCTAAAATGAAATCTTCAAGAATGTTTTTTCATTGTAAAAAATTCATTTTAAACTTCAATATAGAAAATTTATGCCGAAATAGTGGAGGTACTTAGCTGACCAAAAGATTGATTTGGGCCGAAATTACAATTCAGGCCGAAAACTGAGTTGATCAAATCCCAAACTCAGCGAAACTTCGAAACCTCGAAACCTCTCATTTTAAATCAGATTCCTTGGCATTTTGAAGAAATAAAATTTCTTTTTCTCAATTCACAAAGTTTTCGAGATATTTTAAACTGAATTTAAAACAAAAGTTTTTTTAAATTCACAAAATTTTTGTTTTACTTTAAACTCAATATAAAATAAAAACATAAAATCATTAATTTTTTTTTCAGTTATTTTAAAATTTGAATATTTAACTCTTCATTTCTTCAGCCGGACACAAATCCCTATGCTGGATGTTCAAGCACCAGATGAAGGGCATGTTTTCATCTCTGGATTATCCTGATTCCAAAAAGGTTTAATCTATCTATATAGATCAAGTGTGGTCCGAGTTAGAGGGGTTTTAGGCACACAGACGGACAGACAGAATCTGCCGTTTATTTATATTGAGATAGATATATATTCTAAACAAAGTGATGTCTTTTTTATTTATTAATCCGACAGATTTTATTACTTAAATGTTATTCTTTTAGTGTATTTTAGTAGACGCTTCGATTATTTATTAAACATTGCATTCTTTTTATTGTATTCTACGGGCCTGAATATTCGAGAGATTTTATTAAAGAAAAATATGAGCTTTCTGGTAGGATTCGAACCTGCATCCACCTATTAGAAAACGTTCATGAATATTCATCAGGTCGTTGAAAGGTTAGTCAAAACACATGCCTCGACTAAGAATAGGTTTTCCTCTTACCATTTTATTCATTTTCCTTTATAGATACACTCTATCTGAAAATAATTTACACACACACACACACACACACACACACATATATATATATATATATATATATATATATATATATATATATATATATATATATATATATATATATATATATCGGTGCACGTACCAAATATATAAATCGCATTTTTTGTTCAAATTTGTATGTTCAATTGTGATAATTCTCGATGGTATTTACTTGTGGTATGATGCTTTGCGTGCTGGTCTCGTGGAATATGATGTTTTCGATCCTCATATGGTGTCATGTACTTGTGGTATTATGCCAAATATAAGCTAAGCTTAATAATTAACTATAATTTTATAAAAAAAGTCATTTTCACATTATTCATACGAAGGTTCGTCAATAAGTCAGTAGCTTAATACAATGTCATTCGCTAAATTTTGTGATTGACCCTGTACTCGCCGTAAAATCCTAAGGTTATTATGAAAATTAAAGTAAAATTCGGTATCATAGGTTTGTAAAAATTTCGTTAGTATCTACTATCTATATTTCTCATGTTGTCTGTCTGTGTGTCTGTCGTAGGCGTTGTTACCTCGCCCAGGCCGCATTTCTCACCCGATTTCGATGCGGTTTTCAACACAAGTTTGCAAATGGCTGCCGTAAGGACATGACGGGTCTACATTAGAGTCTACCATTAGAAGTGTTGTCCAGAAGTTTAATGACCACGGACCCCTAAACAGCGCGGAAAATCGATAAAACCCAAAAACCGATACGCCCAGATTGCGTCTGAACCGCATGTCGGTTTTTAGCGAAAACCGAGCAGATTTATGAAGAGGCCATTGGGAGTCATCATGGGAAGTTTCAACTCTGAGCACCCCCACCCCCAAAGAGAGTGCAAATAGATAATAGATAACAATTGATATTGCATGTAAATTTTTGAATATCAAAGTTGGCTGGAAAGGATGGAAGCGGAAGAGCATTCCACAAGTGAGAAGTGCGAGAAAAGAAACTATTAGGGTAGAACCTACGGTTACATCTAACCATTTCAACTGTAAAATGATGAAAACTTGCTGCCGATTTAGTACTGTGCTTAAATTCATAAAGTCTAATTTCCACAGATACACATGATAGGAAGTTGTGGAGAGCCATGATCACTCACTCATAAGGGCCTGTCTCTTCCCAAATTGAGAAATAAAGCATATATAAATTGGATTGTTCTACAAGCAATAAAAGAAACTGTTAGCATAGAACTTACAGTTACATCTACCCAATTTAACTGGTAATTGATGAGAGCTCACCGTCAATATAGTATCGTGCTTAAATTCATAAAGTCTAGGTACCATATCGAAAAAAATCATCCTAACAATTACCATGAAATTATTTATAGAAAAGGCAGAGGGAAGCTACATTAAGACGGTGGGACGTGACTGAAGCCGAGATGTCAGGTCAGGATTAATAATATTGTTGATTCTTCTTTGGATTTTATCAAGAATCTCTAAATATATAGCAGGAGCATCGAATCATATATGGCCTGCAATACTTACATATGGATGCATAAGTTTTATCAGCAGATGTGTATAACCCGTCCTCCTTATTTAATATCTGAGAAAAGTGCAAAACTCCAAAATCTGTGTATAAACAGCGAATAAATTAACAAATTGTTTAGATGGTTCGATTTTTGTAAATTCTCAGAAGTGGAGAATATTTTTTTTACAATGCTTTAATATTTTCATATCTAAAATGTTTTAAATATCTTTTTTTTCACATCTATATTACACGATGTTTTAACATTTCATCTGTTTTATAAAGTTTCAGCAAGTGACTCCATTTTTGTTTACTTACAATAACACCATCCTCTGAATGCTACACAATTTTATTTAACCTACAAATCGAATAAACCTCATACATTACAAAACATTGGAAATCATTTAATGTCCTACAAGGAGGATCAATTGCAAACCTTTATATAGTGAACTTGACACCCAACTATTGAAAAATAGGAAAATGTAATTGATCGTTTTCTACGGTTTATCAACCCGTTTGCAGGTTATTTAAAGAAAGAATATATTTTTAGATTGAAAGAATTTTTTTTATATAATAATGGTTTACTGATACAAGTCTTACTAATTAAGCCTTAGCTTGGGAGAAGAGTTTGATTCATACATTTCTCAATATATATATATATATATATATATATGTATATATATATATATATATATATATATATATATATATGGATATTCCAGTAGAAGATCTGTAATTTAATTAGGCAGTATTTTTTATCCAACTGCATCTACCGGGCTGAATATTCGAGAAGTCTTGTCAGAAAAATATGCGTCCTCCAACAGGAATTTAAACAAGATATATTAAAATAAAAAATGTCGGATTTAATATATATATATATATATATATATATATTAAATCCGACATTTTTTATTTATATATATATATATATATATATATATATATATATATATATATAAATAAAGGCACGGTGGAGTAATGGATAACAGTTTGGATTGAGGATTCGGAGAGAACCAAGTTCGAATTCATTACATTCACTTACGTGCTAATACCCTTGGGAAATGTATGAATTCTCTTCTTCTCCTATGTGTAAATAGCAGAACAGACTGCGTTGTTTAGCCTTGGATGGCAACTGGTCTAGGAGAAGGACAACTCTGAATTCAAAATCTGCGGATGTTCGTTTGTCGATCTTGTGGCACGTAGTGCACCAGGTCTCTGTATTCGGCCCTTCAAAAAGTGTGGATAGTTCTGCATAAAAACGTTCACCACTATAATCAAATCACATGTGCTGGTGTCGAGCTGTCCGTTCCTAGGAACTGATCTGCTTGACCCTCATACGTCGAATTCGACGGGAGAGTCGAGTATACACACACACACACATATATATGCGAGATCGAGCAGAATATATGCATATTTGTCACTAATTTTAATTAAAAAACGACCTCTAGTAATTTCATATGATAACCCAACTGGAATTAGAACTCGACTCTCCTATTACCAATTTCGAGCCATTAGCTCATTACACTACCTGCTCAACCAAGTTTACAGCACCTGGTATTAGCAAGCAATCACCCATCTAAGAACTGACCATGCTCAGCGTTGCTTAACCTCGGTGATCTTACGGGAACCGGTTCTCCAATGTGATGTAAGCCGGAAAATTGAATGCCGTGAGAAGAACAATAACTACAATATATAAAAGTATACGGTAACTAAAACGCACATACCAATACACAAAATTAAATAAAATGACAAGATTTTAATTTACAATTTAACATCCTTTTAGTGTTATTTATTTGTATGCTTTTATTCCTGTCGACACGAGGCTATCCTTGCTGGTATAAAGTGAGTGACCGTACAAGCCTCCCTAGATGGTCGGGGTGGGGGTCATCCATTCATCGTAAATGGTGGTAGTTCGGTACCCTTTTTAATGTTTATTTGGTGTAGCAGGTACTGATTGCGTCAATGAGTGTGTTGGTTACGGATTAAGTCAACCTCATCAATTAAGAAGTGAATTGGGTCTTCGAAAGTCGCATGAGTATATACATTAAATGTTGAAACTGGCGAAAATCAGCAAAATATTGACCTCAATATAAACCTAACGCTCCCATTTCATCATTTGTTTTTGCCACATATTTTCCTACTTATATACTTATGTTAAAAATATGCACAAGGTTCTTTTTCTTCATTAGATTACGGACTAATGGAATGACCTATATAAAAATAATAAAAGTAAAATTAAGACTTGACTTAGGGGTTATCAAATTCGTCTAGATGACCAAAACAATTTTGTTAGAAACAAAGAAAAACGTACTGAACTGTTATGTGATAACAGTCCTTCTATATTGTAGTGAATACTGGACAATTTCCTCAAAGAGGAATAAGAGACTTGAAGCAACGGAAATGGAAGGATGCTAAGTTTACCATGGACCGAACATGTGAGCAACGAGGAGGTTTTTGAAAACAAATAGGAAACTTATAAAGGAAGAGATAGTTCAAATGTCTCGAGCACATAATGTAGAAAGAGGGCTTGGAAAATATTACACTCACAGGACAGATTGAAGACAAGAGGTACCGAGGAAAACAGTGCAGAAATTAGTGAGCTTAAGTAAATATATGGTGGGACAGGGTTAGGAGAATTAGAAAACAATATTTATTAATAACTGCGAAGAATAGGAAATTGGACCGACATGCTCGTCTACGCCCTGAATGAACACGACAAATAGAGACCACGATGCGCAATATGTAGTGTGTTCACCCCCAGTGTCCATCTCCATTTTTTGCTTCAACTCCTAAGCGATTTGTCCCTTCAATACGTAGGTGATATAGGCTCTTTACTGTGTCCCTTTTATTATATCTGTAAACTGTACATGATTGTTCTTGGGAAAAGACAGTGGAATAGTTATCTGTCTTTTGTTCACGGTTTCCATTTAAGAGTTGTCTTTCTCATAGACAAGTTGTCTGCCAAGTTTAGACAGTCCAGTTTACCTTACTTTTTAACCCATAATTTGAGGTATTATAAACAGTAAGTGCAAAAGTGATAATTCAATAATCTCGGGTTAGCTTTGGTGAAGATTTACACGTATTTGTCAGTCAGTGAGCAATGTGCAATTTTAAAAAAGTCACAGTAGTGAAAATGATAAAACAAAATGTTTCCTTATAAGGAAACGCTCAGCATTCATTGGCCGATCAGCCAGTGCTACTTTTGATTGAAATTTATAAGAACTTTCGGATAAATAGGTTTCACCCGACTGTTATCGCTCTTTCGAGTACCGATGATGCTTTCTGCTATGGGGTCCACCCCTTTTTCATATAAGTGGACTCGACCAAAGTGTTACTTGGACTGCTGCCGTTAAATACCCAGAGTCAGTCAAAATACAAAGATGGGAAAGAGTAAGAAGACTAAGATTGTGATTGAGTTGGAGGTAGAGTAATAGTGTGAGGTAATCGCTTGTAGAAGTCGCAGTTACAAGCACGTAGACTCTAAGGAAGTCCGACTTCGAGACTGTATATATCTATATGTTATTGCTACTAACCGCGTTCCTGGTTTACTAACAGTATTACTCTTTGTATTAGTGTGTAAATACATTTAATTTCTTATCTTTAATTCTTGCGTTTGTCATTCATTGGAGACCGAATTTCATCTCGGAATCCACAACACTTTCCTTCTTAAACGTTGGCTTGAAGTAATATGCAACGTCAATGTCTGGAGTATATCTCTTCGAGTTACATGTGCTATCCATTGTAGGTATTGCTGCTGTTGAAAGTCTATAAGTGACGTAGTTTCTGTTATTTAGTACAGTTCTTTGCTTGTGATTCTGTAGAGGCCGTAAAAAAATTCGAGGAAATATATGTCCTCGCTAAGACATAAAGGCTTCATTTGTTTGAAGCCATGTTTAAATCATTGGTCTGAGAAAGCAGTTGTATGCAGCTGAGAGTTTATATATTTCTGAACGAGTTTGCTGCCATAAATAAAATTCGTATAAAAACCTCGGTAAAAAGGCCCGCATTGAGAATAATACACTCTATCGTAGTGAATTAGTCTGCAAGATAAACTTACTAGACATTTATGCAGATGATAATCATAGGTCATATAAAACACCGACAAAAATCTAGATGATCACAGCCTAGCAACTGATCTCTCCTCCGACTGAACTCTAACAGCTCAATGAGGAAAAACAGACTAGTATCTTTCCATCTATATATAACTAGCAGTAGAGCCCGGCGTTGCCCGGGGATGTAACAGTAAGAGATAGATCAAGTATCGACCGTCATAAAGACTGAAAAATAAAATTGACAAAGATTATTGTTTAAGGTTGACGGACACGCATGTCTTAATTAGTTTTTTTTTGTTTTGGTTTTTTACGAATTGGTCAAACCCAAATTCAAACAAAAACATTGTTTACAATCGTTATGAGTCTATCGATTGGTGAATAGAATTTTATTATAAACAATTGTCTTGTAAATGGAATTTTTAAAGCATTCTGAATGTAAAAATAAAGAAAAAGTGTGCAAGACAATAAGAAACACTACCTGCCAAAAAAAGTGAAGTTTTGTTGAAATCGGTTGAAAAATGTAGGAAATCCGATCCCATATATAAACGAACACACACAAACAACCAACCTGGGTTTTATAATAAGTATAACTCGATATGAGTTGTCCCCCTTTCATTAATGCCTCGTAATCGTGTTTTCAAATGGATTTCGTGCAAAAATAATTGTGTTTTTCCAATTTTGGGCGCTGTCAGAACCACCGCAAGGTAATTTTACGTAGTCCTGTGAAGTTTTGTTGAAATCGGTTGAAAAATGTAGGAAATCCGATCCAATAAATAAACGAACAGACACACACACATACACACACACCACCTGGATTTTATAATAAGTAGGATATTCTGTGACTGCTATTATTCCGTCCGTCACACCCTCTAAAATAACCATAGATTGACCGATCAAATCAAATTTTGGGGTAAAGTTAAAACAGGTAAGGGGGTATAAAGTACAGTTGGTTTTACTAGGGTACTTAGCTGAGTACAATAAATTTTTAATATTTTTTTAGAAAAATTAAACATGCGAAATAATCCCACTATTTAAAAACAAAATTTAATGATTAAAATAACAAATACTTGTTTAATAAAAAATGCACTATTGTTTTTGCATAACTTTTCCTTGTGTTTTTTATATACAAGAATCCAGTTTCCAATTCGCCTTGCGTTTGCGAGAACTATAAACAAATCTCAAGGCTAAACGCTTCAAACATTTGGAATTTGGCTCCAGAAAGAAATGTTTACGCATGACCAGTTGTATGCTGCATGCTCAAGTGTAAGAAACCCTGATAATTTATTCTTCTCTGTTAAAAAAAAAAAACGGAAAAATAAATTTTTTTAAAAAATTTTATTTACCATAAAGTCCTATAAATTAAAGAAATTATTGAACCGCGAAGTAGGGATTTTGTCAAAGTAGATATACAAACAAATCACCTTATTCCAATTTCATCGATTGGTTTGCGAAATTGAACGAAACGTAGTTCATAAATGTTAGCGATAACTTCAACAATATTAAATACTGTGAGGAAATCAACACGCGTTCACGTGTTGCAAAAAAAATCTAGTACCTCAAAAACAAAGTTCGTATTATTTCAGCATCACCGATCAGACAGTCACATTTCTCCGATCAGGATGAACGGTTTTCCATGCTTTTAGCGTCTATGGGGATTCAAGTTGCACAACAGACCTCAAGTCGGACTCCTATATACAATCCACTGCTAAAGATACAGGAAAAATGGTATTTTTTCCTGATTATCAAACACAGACAGCTGACGCCAAAGCAACGCCCACGAGATATTTCATAGAAAAAAATTAAAAAATAAATTATTATTTATTGATTATCTCATACGAAATTACTGGCGACTGCTTTTTAATTAAAAAATAGTGGCAAACGTGTATACATACTCCTCGTTCTCACATATATATTTATATATATATATATATATATATATATATATATATATAGATATAGAGAGAGAGAGAGAGAGAAAGAGAGAGAGAGTTTTTAACTTTCAAAATCAGGAGGTCAGTTGAATCCGCTACCTTGGTTTCAACATTATGGTATCCTCAGACGATTTTTTATCAAATGACCACATAACGCTTTTTTATTTTAAAAAAAACTAAAGAACTCTACATTATTATTTTCAAAAATAAATAAAACGCTCGATTTTTTTGGATGTAATGTAAACGGAGGCGGAGTATGTGAAGAAGTTAAGAAGAAGAAGGGGAAGAGAAGCAAGTATATTGTAAATGCATCGGTGTGGGGTTAAATTAATTTTTTTATCCATCCTTATATACACTTAAAGAAAATATGCAAGCAAGAGCTTAAAACTTTTAAAACTTGAGCACCCATATATATAGCATAATTTCAAACTAAATTGTTCATATATATATATATATATATATATATATATATATATATATATATATATATATATGTGTATTTATATATATATGTGTGTGTGTGTGTGTGTGTGTGTGTGTGTGTGTGTGTGTGTGTGCAGTAAAAGAAATAATTTAAAATTGTGAATATTATTTTTTTATATTAAGCATAAAAAGCATATTTTAAAAAACATAATTTATATTAAAAATTAAGCTG